TTTTTTTTTTTTTAATTTCCGGAAAATGAACATCAAAGTTAAGTCCTAAAAAGAGGAACATCAAAATTGCTTGAATAAACCCAGGATTAACAAACTCAGGTAGAAATAACAATTGTAATAGTCAATTTTGCATGACAGATTTTAATAGAAGTACAGTTTCCATATACATGCTATATTTACTAGTCATATTTTTAGGAAAACTTCTCTAAATTTAAATTCTCCATATTTTTTCTGTAATTTTAAGCAACATAAAAAGTAAAAATAGACTACACATTTTTATAATAGAGACAATAATGACTAACCATCCCAGAAATGTTAGCCTGTTAACTGAGAGAAATCTTAAGCTTTCAACTAAAATATGCCATATCTATGCATTTTTTATAAAATTTGCGCAAATATCCCAGAAAAAACAAAGACAGATAACCAGACATTAACATAAAACTTCTACACTGAATTTATTATGGTCCATCACTAAATACAAGTTCAAAATTATTTTACAGACTCTAAAACAGTCATCTTATCTTTATGGATTTTATCACCTGAGAAATACTATAAGAAGCAAATTCTACTCACCAAATTAATCACAAACCAACACTGGTTTGCAGGCAATTCGGAAAGCAAAATTCATCTCTTTTATCAAATCAGTTATATTCTATGGGTACATAGCCTTTCCGTTCATCAACTTTGGCTGGAGCAACAGCAGAAATCACTACAGAAGCTCCAAGCAAAATGACAACTAGAGCTGTGAAGTTGACTAAGAAGGCTTCAGAACCGTATTTTGCAAGGCCGCCATTTTGGAGGAAAGTAAGCTTCTCTAAGAATCCCAACTCTGCAGTTGCCACAGCTAATATGTAGACGAAGAGCCCAAACAAAACATGCCAGGGAAGCGAAGCACTCCGCAGTCTGATGGCAGAACCGGGATAGTAGAATGTCACAAACCCATAGATCCACTGTAGAAGAAAGAAAAAAGTGGGATTTAAAGCAATGAAAAATAGGGAAATTTACAAATGTAGCACGCAATTATTATGGATTTGCTTATCTCACACCTGAA